CTGAAATGCTCTTACCAGATATGCCAGGGACCACCCTCTGGAACCATGAGCAGGGCAGGCAGCAAGAGCTTCCTGGAGGCAGGAAATGGGTCTTGAACAAATTGGAGGCTTCAGAAGCTATAGCCCAAGCTCAGCTACCAGGACGGCCAGGTCTCTGCCCCATACCTATGCCCCCTCCCTGAGTCCCTTCCCCTGACTGTGGCCACCAAAGTGCTCGTTCTTCAGCATTTTGGGATGCATGGTGTCTGCAGTCCCCTAAGTATTTACTGGATTAATTGATTGAAATACATCTGCTCCTGTGGCTCCATCACTTAACGCCTTTTGATTGCATCCTCCCCTCTCTGCCCTCCTTGCCTACAAAATCAAGGCCCAACTTCCTAGCCTGATATTTGGGTATTCAAGGCTTCTTTTTCAGCACTGACCTCCTTCTCACACACCCTCCATTTCCAGCCCTAGACTGTGGAATCAGGAATCCAGAGGGAGCTTTCCAGGGGCCCTTTCCCCAGGGTGCCCTGAGCCTTTGGTCTAGCTGCTCCAGCCTGGGCGTCCTTTCCTACCCACCATCCATCTCCCAGCTGTCAGTTCCTATCTTTCAAGTCAGACATCGCCTCCTCCAAGAAGCGTTCTAGGATCCTTCCCAGGCGCAATTAATCTCCAGCCCTTTATGCATCCATGACAGCCCTTCCTGGGAATGTCCTCCTCACCACGCCATCGGCTCCTTTAAGCCGGTTACTCATCTCGGTGCACTGTCCCCATCTCCCACTCCAGTGTCTCATCGTGTCTGGGACATTTCAGGGGTCAGGGTTGTTTTTTCTGGAGTCAAAGAAGAGCATGTGAACTAGGGAGAATTGTGAGAGGAAGGGTTAAGTATTGGGGAATGGGGATGAGTTGATTTCTCTCACCCCTACTGTCATCAGATACGCTCCTAAAAGTGGGGCAGGGGAGGGGTGTATAAATAAACCCATTCAAACTCTCAGGGTTAACTGGGCTTTTGGAGTTCTCCAAGTATAACCCCTCCCAGTTTACAGAGACAGAGGGACTTGCCCAAAGACACAGCCACCCAGGCAGGGGAGCACAGATTGGTAGAGCCAGAAAGGGCCCTTGGGGATCACCTAGTTCCGCTATTCCTGCCCTTTCTTCAGCCTCCGCTTCAGTCGCACACCCAACACTTACCCATCGGTGACACCCGTCTTTATATAGGCATCTCCCATCAGGAGGGTGGAGAGTGTGTGGGTGTTGGGGGAGGGGGTGTATAGCCTCCTCCCAGGACAGGTGAGGCGTTTGAGGCTCTGAGAGGTGGGAGACACACACAACGTCACCCAAGTTTGGTGGGCGACCATGGATGTGAACCCCCTTTGGTCCCACTAGCATCACCCTCGATGCCCAGCAGTGGAGGAGGTCAGGGAAGATCGCTAAGGCAGAATGACTGGCAGAGCTGCGGTTTAAGGAACGCCTCTGGTCACTGGTGGACACAGATTTTGAAGAACTCTCCAGTGGGGAGGAGAGCACCCCCACACACGCACCCCTCACACACACAGCCTGCCTATCCCCACCTGGAAGCTTCATCTCCCAGTGAACCCCAGATCCACCCTACCTGAGAGTATCTCCATCTGTCGGGTATGGTCTGGGCCTCAGGGAAGAAGTGTTCTCTCCACATTAAAGGGACGTGCAGGCCTAACTTTGCCTGAAAGTGTTGGAGGGAGTGGATCAGCCTTTGGGCAGCTGTGGTTTGCATCTGACCCCTTGTCTTTGGTACAGTATCTCAGTGCCTGAAGAGCTCTCCCATTACCTGTTCAAATCCCCTTACTTTACAGAGAAACAAGCCCAGAGAGGGAAAGGATTGCCTTAGGTCACACAGCAAATAGGTCTCTCAGTTCTCATGCGCTCTCTTTGCCTTCTGCTCCACTGCCTTGTTTACCATTGAGACCCCCTTCTGGAGGGCAGAGGCTGGAGGTGGGGGTTAGACCTTAGCTCGTGACCTGGCAATTAATGGGTGTGAATACATGTTTGCTGGTTGCTTAAGTGAATGTATGAAAGTGCTCCTTTTTGGGAAGACATCTCTCTGTGGACCACCTGGTATACGTGATCTGCAGCACTTTGAATCCCTGCTCAGCTACCCCTCGGTGCCCGCAGTGCCAGCCCCACTGACAGGCAGAGTCCACTTAATGCCCTGGCACCTCAGACAGTAAAACTGCTGGAGCTCAAGGACTCGGTGGAACATGGCTCTGCAGTCGCTCATTATGGAGTCACTAAAAGGTTAAGTCTCACGAACAATAGCTGGTGTCCTGGGGCGCCAGGCACATGCTGGCATTGGGGATACAGAGGTACCATGCACAGGTCTCTGCCCTGGAGGAGCGTGGAAAGGAATGACAAGTACACTGGTAGCTATGGTAACAGGGTGGTCTAAGGAGGTGTGCAAGACCTGAGCTGGACCTTGACACGCTGATTGGACTTAAACCAGTCATCGCTCTGTCATGCAGTCAGCACGCATTCTTGACCCAAGCATGTGCTGGGCACCGTGCTCAGCAGTGAGTTGAAGAGCCACAGTCTCTCCTGCCAAGGCTGGATTAGGTGCTCCCTGAACCCCGCGGGGCTTACTGTGGCACAGCCCCCTCCTCCCTACGTGGTCATTGCCTGGTTTGGGGTCTGCTTTGCTTCCCTCTCTGTTCTGTGAGCCCCTTAAGGGCAGGGACCAGATCTGTCTTGGTCTCTGCTTTGTCTCCAGTGCCCAGCACTGGGCTGCCTGGCGGGTCAGCATTGGTTCTGTTTTGTGGAGGGTTGAACTTAGTAAGGTCAGGGTTCTACAGGGCCCCAGCATTCTCCCTTCTCCCTGGCTCAGGAACCTCTGGTTTTGATTCTCTCCCCATCCCCCACCCTCCCCCCATCCCCCAGATTCTGGCCAAGTCATGAAAGCTGGGGAGGGCAGTGGGAGGAGGAAGGTGAGACAGCGATGGCTTAGCAGAGGGTGAGAAATCCTCCCTGCTGCCTGGCCGCCGGCACCACGGGAATGGTTCTGGCAGGAGCTGCCTGCTGGGCTGAGATCACCATGGAGACCTGGCTTGGAGAGGGTCACTGGCAGTGGCTAAGGGCTGGAGGGGGTGGGGGGTGACAGGGATTTGTGCAGAGACTCCCAGCCTGCCCTGGGGCCCTTAGGGGGGAGCAGGGGAGGCTGGGGTTCGGTACAATCAGCTTGCTAAGTGGTTTGGGGCAGCCTGTCCTAAATTTCCCCCTCACTTGCCACCCCAACTCACTATACCTGTCACCCCAACAGAGGTTGCTAAGCTTGCAGTTTCCTCTCTTCAACTGCAATAAAGCTGTCCTACAGATAGATGCCCCCAGCCCTCCAGCTGAACCTGTCCCCCCAGATACAGTAGTCCTGCCTCCTAATGGATACCCTGCTTGTCGCTACAACTGTTCTCTTCATCACCCTAACTGGAGAACTGACATCCATCCCAGCAGCACCCCCTGCCCCAAGAGCTGCTTTTCTACCAAGCGCCCCACTTGTAACACAGCTGTCACCCGTAACAAGCACACCTCTTACCCCTACGGCTAATATTCCATCCTCCCCTCACCTGCAGGAGACCTGACAGCTTAACAAAGATGCAACTCCAGCCCACCCCCTCGTGTCTCTGCTTGCCACCTGGGCTGCAACACCGGGATAGGGTGCTGCCCCTGCCTTGCAGGAGCCCACCTGGTTCCCCTGGCTCTTGAGGGAGTCCTGGCAAGTCCAGCCGCAGGACAAAAGTCTTCCCCGGGGCTGACTGCCCAGCAGACAGCAGCCAAGGCTGAGCAGAATTTAAATGTGGCCCTGTTGGGAAGAGAAGCCAAGAAAGAGGACAAGGGAGGAAAGGCTTTCATTTCTGTGGCTGCCTGGTTGCTGCGGGGGTGGGGGAGGACTTGCTGAGCAGTCTTAGGAGGCGGTTGGTTTCAGGGCTCTAAGAAGAGGACAGACCTCAGAAAGGTCCAGGCTAATGAGTGGAGGTCTTAAGAATGACCAAGCCCATCTCTGTCCCTCTGGGCACCTTCCTGCTCACCCCAGCAAAGATGGGGGTCTGCATAGGGGAGTCAGGGCCCTGCAAAAACAGTTCAGACTGTCTGGGAAAGGGGGTACTTCAGACCTCCAGTGTCTGGTGATTGTCGGGCCTGAGGACGTGGGAGTTTCTGGGCTTCAGGAAGGCAGGGGGTGCGGCAAAACACAGATGGTATTGTGTTGGGCAATTTCTTTATTCCTTTATTCAGACAGACTTCCTCATCCCCTCACCTCTCTAAGGAACAGAATGGCATTGGTGGGGACTGGGGGGAGGGTTGGAGTTAGAAGAAATTAAAGCAGTGGCTCACACCTGTGCTGCGCTGAGGTCCTGTCTTCCCCATTACGTCATTTGTTTCTCAGAACAGCCGAGGTTGGAGGGATTTCTAAACTCATTACATGAGGAAGCCTAGGCTTGGAGAGCCTAGCTGGTCTAGGCCCCAGGAAAATGATAGCGGCTGGTAACTAGTGTCATTTATTATTCATTTATGTTCCAGGCCTAATATGCCTTAAACCACTGAATCCTCCCAACAAACCTATGGGATAGTTCTGTTATCTCCGTTTTACAGATGAGTAAACTGAGGCTCAGAGAGAGGCACTGGCTTGCCCAAGGTCATAGAGCTTTTAAATGGTGGTGCCAGCATTTTAACTCAGTTGTGTCTGACTCGAGAGCCCAAGTTCTTAACAAATTGCACTGCCTGAAACCCTGACTTCTCGCCCTGTGCATTCTTTACCTCTCACTGTGGGCCTTGGACACACACCTATTTTACATATGGGGAACCTGAGCTCAGAGCAGGCCAGAGTCTCATGGGGGGCTGTTTGGAGTTTTCTGGGAGAAGGAACAATGCCGTTAGCTTCTCCCAGAATCCTGTTAGGGACTGGGCGGGGGTCCCGTGCTTAGCCTCCCTGTTCTTAGAGCTCAGTGTCTGTGCCTGTTGCTGACTTCTGCCTCCTCTCTTGTGTTTCTTTGCAGCTTTCAGAAAACCAACGCCAAGACCCCTCCCAGCGTCCACATCATCCTCTGGCAGGAGCGCCTGCTCCTCTTCCTCCCCTGCCCCACACCCCCTGCGACCCCATTTCCCCCCACCCCTTCCCTGCCCATCTCCTCCACGCAGAAGCCGAAGGTGAGCCCTTTCTGCACAAAACCAGCAATTGTAAATACTTTTTAAAAATGTACAAAACTTAAAAACAAAACACAGTTTTAGAAAAAGACAAAAAAAAGAGAGAGAGCGAGAGAGCGAGCGTGTGCAAGAGGTTGCGAGCGGGGCCCCAAGGTGTCCAGAGCCCCTGCAAGTATGCACTGAGAAATTTATCTACAGGTCGTTTGACAAAAATGAACAATATCCTATTTATTGTATATACTGTTTTATTATAAATCGTGGATTGTATATTGCATTCTGTAAACCTGCTGTGGTCCCGTGGTGTGCAAATTCGCATGGTGGGGGGAGGGGGAAGAACCTCTTGCGGGAGCTTTTTTTTTTTCTTTCTTATTTTTCACTCTTGGGTTTTCTCTTCTGTTGTTGTTGTTGTTTTCTGTTGGCAGGACACACCCAAAGATCCAAGTTTGTATTAAAAAGAAATGAAAAAAAAGCAAAAAAAAAAAAACAAAACAAAAAAACCTCGTGTCTTGTGAAAGGGGGTGAGTGAGGGTGGATGGAATGGAAGGGGCGCGGCTGAGTTTTGTCACCAGCCACTGGTTCCCCACAGGAGCTGAAATACCCACGTGTCCTGTGCCTCTGAGTTCTCTCTTCTGCCTGAGGTCTGAGTCACCTTTGCATCTGGGCTCCCCCACTTATACCCCAGGCCCTGGGTGTTCTCTGCCTCTGGGTTCCCCAGTCTGCCCCATAGGGCTTCCTGGCCCCTGGCATTCCTGTCCCACGTCCAGGGATGCTGCCTTAACGGGTCTTTGTTTTGCCTTAGGTTCTGGGTCTCCCTTGATTCTGAGACCTCTCTTCTGTCCCCAGTCCCAGGTCTCCCAGCCCCTGGATCACACCTTCTTTCAAAGCGCCTGGATGCCTGCTTCCAGGAGCCTTATATTCCCCCAAGTCGTAGGTTCCCTTTCCCTGAGGACCCCCATTATGAATCAGGTCTTGGGCCTCCCCTGCTGCTAGATCCCCTCATTCCATCCTAGGGCCCAGGTCCCTGACTCGCCCCTTCATTTGTCCTGTCTCCCCAGCCTTTGGGCCCCACGGTTCTACTCTGGTTCACAGACACCTGTCTTTGAGATACTCATTCCATCCTAAGGCCCAAGACCCTTGTGGGCCAGCCCCCTTCCCCACAAGGACTGGAGTACCCCGTTTGTGTGTTTCCCATTTGCCCCAGGGCCTGCCTGGGTCTCCTCTGTCCCCAGGCCCCCCATTTTGCCCCAACACACCTGCATCTACCTATGCAAACTGCCAGTAACTCCAATATATCTGCCTCCCCCTTTCTTTCCACCCTGAACCCCAATTGCCAGGTTTGTGTTTCCTCCCAGCTTTTGTAAGCCTTAGAAAAAGAAAACTCCTCATCCTGTGCCTAACTCTGGTGGACCTGGAAGTGCTGAGCTGCTTCCCACTCCCTGACCGTGGGAAGTTCTTGGCTGCCCTTGACCGACTGATGCCCACTTTGGGCTGCCGGGTCTTTAGCAAGCAGCTTTTCCCATAGACCCATTTTATCTTGAAGCTCTGCCAAATGGAGCTGCTCGGTGTCCCTCCCTCCTGAAGCTCAGGAAGACCCCAAGAGACAGCTCCCTGCCGCCTGCCCTTCCTGACCCAAGCAGCAAGGCCAGCCTTGGGAGAGTCAGAGGAACTCTCCATCTGAGGGAGAGAGAGACCCCCCGCTTCTGGGCACCCCTGTCTGAAAGAGGAGGCCGGAGGATTCAGGCAGGGGCAGGTAACAGACCCTATAACTGCAGCCTCTGCTGGATGTGCGGGTTCATCCACCCAGGCCCCCTCCACGCAGCCCGAAGACTCAGATGAAGACAATCCCTGCCCTCCTGCATGGTGAGGGCGAAGGCTTTAACACTGCATTCAAGCTACAGTCCAGCAGGTGCTGCAAGTGGGGGCAGGGAGCAGTACCACTCGGCTGGCGTTTCCCAGAGGAGAAAACATTTAAAGAGCCAAGGCTAGGGTGCTAGGCAGAAAAATGAGGTGGTTCCCAGAGGAGGAAAGAACTTGTGCAAAGGCCTGGAGATGTACAAGAGGGCGGCAGGGGTGGAAGCCACACATAGCGAGGTCTGTTTGGAGCAGACACTGTGTGTATTTTTGGAGAGGGGAGAGGGCTTTGGCAAGGTCACTCGGGGGCAGGGTGGAGGCTGGTTGGAGAGGGTGGGTGGCATGAAGGAACCGGTGGAGGAGGCCAAGAGAAGCTTGTTTGCAGCCCTAAGAATCGCCTGCAGGGAGAAAATGAGTATGTTCAGCGGCCTCCAAGGAAGCGGAAGAGACTTGGGGAGGCTGTCCAGGTGGGACAGGCTGGGCAGACAGGGGGCCCGGAGAGGGGGCTGAGGGCTCAGTAGGGGTGGGGTGCAGGGGAGGTCTCCATGACCAAGGGGGCAGTGGGGGGATTATTCAGTGGAAGAGATTAGGGCTCTACACAAGAAGGGGCTGGAGGTGGGGAGGAAGGGCCGAGAAGGGTTGTGCGCCCAGGAATTGGGTTGGGGGGGAGCCTATGAAGGAAATGGCAGTTTAAGGTGATTATAGCCCAGCCAGGGGGCTCATTAACTTGAAGAGGGCTTTGTAAAAGGAGGGATGGGGATTCACTGCAAAGAGGGGCACAGGCAGAGGGATGAGGACCCAGAGAAGGCCTTGTGGTTTCCAGGATGGGAGGGAGGCATGGTGAGGAGGACTGGAGCTCCTTGAAAGGTAAAGGAATGGCTCTTGGAGAGAATGGGAGCTCAAGGACGGGAGGGTCTCAGCCTAGGGTTCCGTGGCTGAGTAAGGGGGGAGGAGGGCCAAGGTGTATTTTGGAGAGAGGACTCAGGGGAGCTGTGCCAGAGCTAAGGGCCTACCCTTTGGGCTGGACGGTTCTCTGGGTTCTGGGGCCTCTAGGGGAAGGGCAGCAGAGGCTCTGCTCAGGTGGGTGGGGCAGGGATGGGGGTCATCCTATTTTGATCTGTTCTTCTCGGTAATTGGGGCCTTACCACAGCCACAGTCCCACACCTAATCCCAGAACGCTTCAAGGCAGTGTGGCTCCTAGATATGTGGGTTTTGCCACCATTTATTAAACACTTCCCTGAGGTATTTATTCCTCAAAACAGTCCTTGAGGTAGAGAAAGATATTCGCCACATTTACAGATGAGAAGACAAGTTCAGAGTCGCGGAGTAAGTGACTTGTCCAACATGACTTGGGAAGTGGCAGGAGTAGGTTGGCCCAGAGTCTGACTCTGAGCCCTGCTTGTTCACAATAACTTAAAGGGAAAAAAATCCTGCTTGTAAAATCATCCAAAAATTAGTCCATTCTATAGTAAATTTTTAAAATAATGGTAATAAGAATAGGAAATAATTATATAACTGTTCTAAACACTTTACATATATATGTATAAACACATTCTGCGTCCACAACAATCCTGTGAGGCTTTATTGTTACAATTATGCCCGTTTTACAGAAAACTCAAGTGCAGAGAGGTAATTTACAAAGTCCATTCAATGAGTAAATAGTGACACCAGGGTTCAAACCCAAGCAATCTCATTCAGGAGTCTGCTTCATTGTACTGTTAAAAGTGAAAACCCACACTACCCTCATTGCTAGTAATCTCCATTCAAGAATGTCGAGTCTGGGCCAGCCCGGTGGTGCAGCGGATAAGTGCACATGTTCCGCTTCGGCGGCCCGGCCCGGGGTTCACCAGTTCGGATCCCGGGTGCGGACATGGCACCACTTGGCAAGCCATGCTGCAGCAGGCGTCCCACATATGAAGTAGAGGAAGATGGGCATGGATATTAGCTCAGGGCCAGTCTTCCTCAGCAAAAAGAGGATTGGCAGCAGATGTTAGCTCAGGGTTAATCTTCCTAAAAAAATTTTCGAGTCCATTCATCTAGATCAGTGATTCTCAACCCAGAGATTCTGACTTTATTGGTCTGGGCGGGACCTGGGCATGGGGATTTTTAGAAGCCCCCGGTGGTTCTAATGAGCAGCCAAAGTTGAGAACCTCTAATCTAGCTATTGTGCTGCGTGTTTGTATACAAGCAGTCACCTGTGTGCACACACCTATACTTAATGTGTTGTCCTCGGTGTGCGTAAGGTGCCTTCTTGTATGTACAGTGTGGTAGCCATTAGTGACTGTAAATTACTATGGGTTCTCTCAGTGACTGTTAGAGACACTGTGTGAACACGTTCATTCCACAAATATTTCTTAAGCACCTACAAAATTCCAGGCAGTGTCCTAGCCACCTGGGGATATGACAATGACAAGACAGATGGGGTCCCTGCCTTTGAATGTATAGTCTGATGGAACTGACAAATTTGGTCTCATGTCTTTCCCTGTGGGTGGCAGGGGTTTGGAACCCCTTAGGGGTTGCCGAGGGGTGAATGGCTGGCTAGACAAGCTTAGGAAGGTGAGACTTGCTGGTTGGCTGTGTGTGTGGTGGATCCTCTGGCCCTATGTCCAGATGTGGGGTTTTTTTGTGGGTTTTTATTTTTTGAGGAAGATCAACCTTGAGCTAACATCTGCCAATCCTCCTCTTTTTGCTGAGGAAGACTGGCCCTGAGCTAACATCCGTGCCCATCTTCCTCTACTTTATGTGTGGGACGCCTACCACAGCATGGCTTGCCACCAGGCCAGCCCCCAGATGTGTTTGAGAGAGGGAGACCCAGGGCATGTTTCTGGGTTTGAATGAGTGGGCTTGACTGTGTGGCATGGGTGTAAAGCTGTGCATGATTTGGGCCTGTGAAAATGTGGACAACGGTGGGAGGGGAGGGCTGTGTGTAAGGTAGGCATCAGCCCAGAACATCACACATGTGGTTGTGTGTGCACACTCACACACACACAGCCAGCTGCTGCAAGGAGGGGGCTGGGTTCCAGTCCCAGGGCTGGGAGAACTCTACTTTGGGTATGTGGAGGAGGCACAGCTGGGGCTGGAAATTCTGGAGTGGGAGGAAGGGAGGGAGAGGGGGAGGGAGGCTGGGGAGCCACATCCTTGATCTCTGGTCTGTTTCAGCAGTTCCGGACTTGGTGCTCTGGGTCTCTGTGTGACTCTGGGTCTCCCTCTCTGTAATGTCCAGATCTTGGCATCCCTGTTTCTCTCTTCTGGGCCTTGGGCTCTGAGGCTGATCACATGACTCTGGGTCACCACCTCTCCAAGCTACTTGGCTGTGTACCCCTCCAAGTCTCTGTCTCTGCCTCCATGTCTGCCTCTGTCTCCGTGTCCTTCCTTGTCCTTGCCAGGTGGGAGGAGGGGGCCCAGTGCTCAGGGAGCAGGTGTCGGCTCACTCAGGCAGCAGGGAGTGAAGCTGAGGAGGGCACAGAGCCAGCAGCCCCTGGACACACAGCCACACTCCAGGAACATACTCAGGGCGCTCACAGGAACACACATGACATACGTGGAGAGATAAGTTCTCAGGGACATTCATAGGGACATACACACAGGTACACAATTCAACACACAGCTGTGCCTGGAAACACAAGGATGCCAGACA